CCTCTTCACGCGCCCCGCCCCCGCCCGCCAGCCAGCCAGCCAGCCAGCCAGCCAGCCGTCTCCCATCCCGTCCAGTCCCGCCCCGCCCCGCCCCGCCCCGCCCGGCGCGAGCAATCGCCGGGGCCGACCGGCTGCCTGCGCGAAGTGAGGCGTGGCTTCGGGAGGGGGACGCCGGGGAGCGGACCAGGAGCTGACAGCGTACTCCCTGCCTCGGGCGCGACCTGCGGGCAGTACCCGGAACTGCGGAGTCCACGCTCGCTCCCTTAGCCTGGCGGCGGACGTGGCTGGCTCGGTTAATTCGCCGAGTTCCACTTTTAAAACACATTTCCCAGGGGAGTGAGAGTCCATCTGGCCACTTACGGCCTGGGCTGAGGATTCCACGGAAGTTATAGCCCTGGATCAGACGACTCCCCTCTTTTTCAAGGGTCCTGTCTGAAAATTATTGAGTAGGAACCCAAGAGGTAATTAAGAGGCCTCAAAAATCCCACCTCATTCCATCCACAAGGGAAACCCATGAGTTTGTAATTCATTTACTACTTGAAAACTGTTCTGACATGTGTAGTAGCTGTGCACTACTTGTGCACCATTCTGAACACTTCATTGGAGAAGTTTTAAGTATCTATATAGCATGAACTGGATGAGGGGAGGGGGCAGCGGCTGTAGTGGGTTAAGAAATCTTGATTCTCCTTTGATCTTAGAATAGGATTTTTAGGTAATGAATGAATGAACCAAAAGGTTTTTGAATAGGGGACAAAAGTCCACAGGTAAGATTGGCAAAAGCCATCTAATCAATTCTAATCACTGTTTGGGGATGGAATTGTGTACTTTTGACTGTTTTAGGTTGCTGGTTTGATTCCGGCTTGAATGACTATTGACTAACCTACTGATTGTTCTTGAGATATGTTAAGGAAACTGCTTGAATACTGTTTAAATATGCTAAGGAAATTGCTGTAGGAAGTATGTGGAAAAGAAAATGTTTTCTAAGGACAAGCTGTTTGTTGGTGAATTAACCTAGCTTTTTACAACTTACATTCTGGAATGTCACATTGTTAACTTACTGCTGTTACTAGCTTTACACTGCCTGATTGAATCAACTGATTTTTCTTGTGAAACTTCCTTGTCTTATCAATAAAAAGAAAGGCTGATTTCCGATCTCCTGAGTGCGCCACGGGGCCGGCCCTTAGTGAATTCTTTCTCTTTTCTCCGTCTCGGTTACACAGAGGAAAGTGTAACAAACGGGGATACTGCGGAAGTGAATATTGTTCTCACCTATCAGCAACAAATAGTTTTCAGATCAGGGTCCATATTACTTGCTTCCTTCTCTGTAAAATGAGGCAGTTGGACAAAGGTCCCTTAAAGTTACTGTGATGCTATGGATCAATATCTGGATGATAACCTACAAATATAGTACAAGCTAAAGAAATCCTGAAGATTTCAAAATAAGTATTATGGGTTATTTTATGTCCCTTTGCTCTCACCCCCTAATCTCCATAAACATTCTTCAAGATTTTACTCAGAGCTTCTCTTTTTGGTTCCCTCAGATGAAGCACCACTTCAACTTTCACCTGTGTGTTGCCTAAAGTTGCTTTTACTCCTTCAGCTGGTTTCCTTCCTTATCTAGTCCTCTCATTAGTTATTTCACTTCTCCCCAAGGGATCCACCACTGTTTTAAGGTCATCATCTCAGACAGTCTATTTCTGTGTCATTCTCTTTGTAATCTGCAGCATTCCATCGGGGTATGTTCTCTGAACACTCAGGGAAGGCCCATCAACTCAGTGAAAACCTCAGTCCAAGTCAAGGAAGGGTGCCTTGCAATACATCTCTCTACTTTCACCTTGTCCAATCTGTTTCCTTTATTCAGCTAAGACTCCTATCACTTTCTTCCTTCTCCATAGACTGTTATCACCCCTACTCCCAACCATCTCATAGCCTAAAATGTTAATTTGCCTACTTCTTTCTGGATAGACCTCAAGGGATCAATGCAATCCAAGTGGAATAAAAGGAGGAAAGAGGTAGAGACAGAGATGGAGCTCAACTAATTGATGGCCTCAGTTTACTGAGACCACAAGCCCTTGTAAAGAGATCAAGTCTTTTAATGTCATGGGCCATGTCTGACATAGAACTGGAATCTCTAAATGTTCAACATTAACTACTTAAAGCAAGCAAAAAATAACCCAGAAATTTCTAAAAATATAAAAGTCTGCTTGTCATTGAAACTCCAGCAGATGGCAGCCACCTCTGTTCACCGCTACCACGCTTGAAGGATATAGGAGCCAACTTTCTGAAACTGGTAAAGGAAAGGAGGAAATGATGTGGACAGAGGACCAAAAACCCCCTTTTCTCATCTGCAGAAATAGATCCAGAGCAAAAAATTTCATTGGCTATTTATTATGCTGTATTCTTTGAGGGTCTTTAGCCATAATTAGTCAAAAATCTAATAAAGATAAGGTGCCTGCAGAGAAGTGAAACTAGAGAAAGAAAAGGTTTGGATGCAAGTAAAACTCTTACAAGGATCCAAGCTGAAGCTTTCCAGCATCCTGAAAGAATCTTAGGACTCAAGGATCAAGCACATCATGAAATAGCACACCTAATACATTACAACACAGTGACTAATAATAAAATTATATTTTATCATATTGGAGGAAGAAAAATAGTGGAGACGTCACACACATTAAAAATCCATGATGCCGGCCAGCCCGGTGGTGGCGCTCCCGCCGAGGGTTCGGATCCCACATACAGACCGGCTGCTCACTGGCTGAGCAAGGTGCGGGAGCAACACCGAGGGTTGCGATCCCGTTGCCGGTCCCAGTCCAGTACGGGCGCGACACTGAGGGTTGCAATCCGTTGCCGGTCACGAAAAAAGACAAAAAGGAAAAAAAAAAAAAAAAATCCATGATGCCAAGCTCCTGAGGAGTAAAAATTTCCCAGCTAAGAGGGATGTTCCCCTCGGTTTGTTTTATCAGTATGAATAAAAAGTATCTGCCCCTTCACCAGCAAGTCCTCTACTAAGAAAGAACCAAACCAAGTCTAGCAGAGCAATGAATTCAAGTGTGAAGGGCAGAAGCTTTCAAACACACTGTTTTCTGTCGTTCATCTCCATCTCTGTGGTGACATGGCCACTGCCCAGGGAACTTGTGGCATGGATCCAGGGTGAAACAGCTGCAGATGTGTCTATGAACACTGTGTGGTAACAGTGGCTCAGAGCCTCCAGACTCATAGCTCCGCATGGTGGGCTTCTGCCTTCAACAATTCACTGGGCTTCATGAAAATGCCTTCCATGGCTTTCCAATAGTTGTTCTGACTTGGCTGGGCCATCCCATGCACTTCTTTTTGTCCACTGATGGGCCGACCATATTGTTCACCTGTGACAGATAGCAGCACCTCTGTAGAAGAATGTTTGAACCGGACCTCACCATCTCTCACCCAGTAGGGCCCATTACAGAGCACTGTCCAGTCATCCAGATAATCACCTTCACCTTCCTCACCAAAAGCACTCACTTCCTATAAAACACAGAAGGTGATATTATTAGCACAGCTGACATATAGGCTTGAAAAGGGGAGTGAGGCAATAATAAAAAAAATAAGGCTATCCAAAAGTGAAAAATGAAAGGCTTCCCAGTATTTAAAAAAATAAATAAACTGTAGGAAAAAAACAAAAAACACAAAGGGCACATAAGAGGAAAAAAATTAGCCGCCATAAGATTATTGTCCACTTATTTTGCAATTAATATTTTATTTATGTATTTCTTTATTTATTTATTTTTAAGTTGACCGGTAAGGGCATCTTAACCCCTGACTTGGTGTCGTCAGCACCATGCTCTCCCAAAGTGAGCAAACCGGCCATCCCTATATGGGTTCCGAACCCGTGGCCTTGGTGCTATCAGCACCACACTCTCCCAAGTGAGCCACAGGCCGGCCCCACAATTAAAATTTTAATATTTTGCCTTATATTTTCTATTATAGTCTTAAAATACTCTATAGCTCTTGTTATTTTTGATTTTAAATATTCCTTCTTCGTTCCCTTAACTAGATTGCAAGGAACCTGTTGCGCAAGTTGGAAAGTGGATGGGCTCTGGAGTCAAGCAGACTTTGAATCTCAGCTCAATCCCTTCCTGTATAACTCCTTTGAGCCTTCATTTTCTCCTCTATAAAATGATGACAATATCACCTTATAGAGCAACTGTAAGAATTAAATGAGATAGTAAACATTAATTGAGCAAAACATAGCAGGTTCTCTGAATTCCACACTTATCTAAATTTCATTCTCCTTAAGATTACTATTCAGTTTCTTTCTATACAACAGCAATCGAAAAATCACCAATTACTTCAGATATCTAGAATTTACATACACACTAATAACTAATGACTAGTGTAATAACTAATGTAATTTTAGATGATTAAAAAGCAGTCATTTGGAAATGGAGTCTGTAAGACTAAAGGCAAAAGGAACTGCACATAAACACAGTACTCTATATGATAAAGTTATTTCCCATGGGTTACCAGTTAAGAATTTTGATACTGCTATACTCATATACTGGAATTGAACAAGTAGGTAAATAGATGGTGGATGGTGCCAATCAGGTATCTCACTGTTGGAGCAGGAATTTACAAATAAGCACAGAGAGGAGTCTAGAATGATCTAGATGTAGAGTTCGAGACATCAGTAAGAATTTATATTTAATTTAATGTAAATACAGATGGTTACACATACTTTTATAAATATTTATAGATATGTGTAAATATATGGTTTAGTATACACACATACATTTCTTTGCTCTGTCAGATGAGAGGACCTAAAAGAAACAACACCCCACTAGCAACCAGTGCACATAGGGTCGAGATGTTGGTTCTAAAACCATTCTCCAACAAAAGGAAGCAAGTTTCCTTGGAGAAATTACCAATTCTAGGACTGGGGCAAGAAATAAATAAGATGAGCATGGAGCATCTTTTAGTGCCAGAAAGTAAGGAAGTACTTTAAAACACACACACCATGGGATTCTGTCAAATGGACACAAGAGCCAACTGAAAGAACTCCCAACAGTCAAAAATGGAACAATTTGAGCAATAAAGACAGCGGTAATGGATAACCTCAAAGTTATCATTTATACTCAAAGTATAAAAAAAAAAATCCATGAGTTCATAATAATATAAATGACTGAACACATGAATTAGAGAGAAGGGACAAATCCTCCATAAAGAAAAATCCCCCCAGATTATGTAGATGCTCCACCTAAGGTAGGGAGGAGTATCCTCACTCCTGAAGCACTTACTGTGCATAGTGACTTCCTTCCAAAAGTACAGTGTGGAAAGGGGAAAAATGAAAAGAGGAACTTGACAGGAAAATCCCAACAAACTACTTACTTCAGCCAGGTAATCAAGATCAATACAGAAAGTCATAAATTACGTAGATAGTATGTGCCCTTGATATGATGTCATGAAAGTGGCAGTTTACCTCTGTGATCTTCCTCCCAAAACCCTTTATAAACCCAGTCTAATCATGAGAAAAACATCAGACAAATTCCAATAGAAAGGTATTCTACAATATACCTGACCAGCATTCTTCTAAACTGTCAAGGTCATCAAAAACAAAAAAAGTCTGAAAAACTGTCACAGCTAAGAGGAGCTGAATTAAGACCTGACAACTAAATGTGATGTTGTATCCTGGAACAGTAAAAGGACATTAGGTAAAAACTAAGGAAATGAGAATAAACTATGGACTTTAGTTGTTAATACTGTATCGATATGGCTTCATTAACTATAGCAAATTTATCCTCCTAATGTAAGATGTTAATAGGGAAAACTATAGAGTGGGGAGTGAAAGGGAAGGAATCATTAAAGGGTCCACATGCCTTGAAAGTTCAAGGTTTAAAAAAATGATACAATAACTAATTCACTTCCCTACTGTGGTTGTTTAGCACCATTAAAAAAAATAATAATTTTCATTGTAAGTTTAGAAAACATTGGGTTTCTTTATTGAAGGATTTATCAGAACTTATGCTATACTAATGTATACTTATTCTGTCTATCCTCCCCATTTCTTGATTTGATCTAGATGTAAAGTCTCCATTTTGACCAGAAATAATTTTCTTCACATTTACGAGACAGAGCCACTTTTCCAGGTCTTCACAAAAGAGAACGTTTATACCTAGAAAAGAAAGGGTTAAAAACCAAGAGATCAAACAACAACTCAACTGAGTAATGCAAGGCAGCAATGATCCACTGGATGCCTCCTCACCTGGTTTCCAGAAAGAGGTGAGGTGAAGTGGTGACTATGGAGGTTTCGCCCAGTGTTGACATGTGTCAGCCGGATGGGCTGACCACATTTGATGGGGGTTCCCCTCTCACATACTGTGGCAGTCTTTCCCCGTATCCTCCAGTAACTGTTGCTGTCATCCACAGAGGTTACACCTGTCACTGACTGCTGGCCACTACCTGCAGTCAAAAAAAGAAAGGCAAGTGAGCTGACCCCTCTTTTTTCTATGGCCAATAATGTACCAGAGTGATGGGGAGGAAATGCTATGCTTGGTAATATTTTTTCTGCTACAACACTAAAATATTTATCAAAAATACTAAATGTGTTCATATAGTATTAGTTACTATATGATAAACTATACTTAAGGGTGTGCCATATCAAAAAATTCCAAGTGTGGGGCCGGCCCGGTGGCGCACTGCTACAGTGCGCCGCTTGGGAAGCGTGGTGGCGCTCCCGCGGAGGGTTCAGATCCCACATACAGACCGGCCGCTCACTGGCTGAGCGAGGTGTGGGAGCAACACCGAGGGTTGCGATCCCGTTGCCGGTCCCGGTCCGGTACGGGCGCGACACTGAGGGTTGCGATCCGTTGCCGGTCACGAAAAAAGACAAAAAGGGAAAAAAAAAAATTCCAAGTGTACGGGCCGGCCCGGTGGCGCACTCGGTAGAGTGCGGCGCTTGGGAGCGCAGTGGCGCTCCCGCCGAGGGTTCGGATCCCATATAGAGACCAGTTCGCTCACTGGTTGAGCGCGGTGCGGGCACGACACTGAGGGTTGCGATCCCGTTGCCGGCTGCGGTAAGGGCGCGACACCGAGGGTTGCGATCCTGTTACCGGTCACGAAAAAAAAGAGAAAAAGGGAAAAAAAAAGAAAAATTCTAAGTGTTTGCATCAAAGGGCACTAGACACATAAATATATGTGGATTTTTAGAAGCACACGCAGTGTTTACCTACATATATTAGCCTAGATAGACCCTAGCATATGTCAGGTGTCTGATCACATAATTTTAACATGTAATAGTATTCAATGTTTACTATGTATTACAATAAAAATTTTTATATTTGACAATTAAAATGAGACCACTTTATGCTGTCAACTTTAATCCAAGCATCCATTAATCTTTCAAACTCCTGGGAGTGGTTTATCAACGTACTATAAAAGTGCAGAATTATTGGGTCATCTAAATTTGGTTAATCCTGCTTCAAGTGGTGCGATTCTACAGGTTAAGAGATACTGGATTAAATATGTAGCTAAAGGCTTTAAAAAAAAAGGATAATATAGATACAATAATTGATAGATAACTAATGTGTATTGAGCACTTACTTACTAGGTATCAGGCACTGACCCAAGTCCTTTGCTTGAATATTCTTATTTGATATATACATATATTCTTGGAGGTAGGTGTTATTATTAACATCATCCTCATTTTACACTGGATTGTAAGAAAGGCTGAGTAGTATGCCCAAGGTCACACAGCTCTAAGAAACAAGAATGAGCTTGAACCTAGGCAGCCTGACTCTAAAACTAAATCTCTTAAGCACTCCACCACACCGCATCCCACAAAGTCATCTTTATTCCTCCAGTTTTATTTTTTTCAAGTTCCTCCAGACAGGCTACTCTCTCATAAACTCCAGGGATACTCTCTTCCCTAATCATCACTGACTACCCAATTCTTTGAAGGCACTCCAGGGGGGCCGGCTGGTTAGCTGAGTTGGTTAGAGTGCTGCATTCTTACACCAATGTCAAGGGTTTGGATCCCCATACTGGCTAGCTGCAAAAACAAAAACAAAAACACACCTTCACTAACTATGAAGGCACCCCATATTTCTCAGATACTTTCCTCAAATATCGTCACCTGTTCCTTCTAGCTTTCCCTTCAGTTCCATGGCCCTGCCTGACCACAGCCTTTAGATGATACTTCCCTTTTACCAAGTGATTTGTTATGCCCCGTACCAGTTATCTGGGAGAATGTAGCAAATTATCAGCTCCTCATTACTGGCTTCTTCCAATCAGCCCATGACTTTGTTACATCTTTAAAAAAAAAAAAAAAACAAGGAAAGGGCCAGCCCGTGGCTCACTTGGGAGAGTATGATGCTGATAACACCAAGGCCAAGGGTTCAGAACCCTATATAAGGATGGCCGGTTAGCTCACTTGGGAGAGCGTGGTGCTGACAACACCAAGTCAAGGGTTAAGATCCCCTTACCGGTCATTTTAAAAATAAATAAATAAGTAATTTTAAAATTCTTTTAAAAAGGGGAAAGAAAGCAAACCAACTCTCCATTTGTACTTCTGGTTACTGCCTTATGGCTCTCTCAGTCCTCACAGCCATGCTTCAGTAAATCACGGTCTTCATTTCATCTCCTACTTTTTCTCTTTCTATTCAACTCTCCACTTCCTCCCTCCCATCTTTATACCTTGGAATTACCCATAGTTCTATACCTGGCCCTCATCTATTTCTTTTTTTGGCGGCTGGCAGGTATGGGGATCCATCCAAACCCTTGAACCTTGGTATTATCAGCACCACACTCTCCCAAGTGAGCCACAGGCCAGCACCCTCTCAATCTGTTTCTATCAATAGTTCTTTAACACTTGTTGGACAAAAGCATTTGTATTTTCAACAAGTTTCTCAAGTGATTAAAATTGACACCAAATTGAGAACCACAGTTCATCCTAGACAATTTCATCTACTCCCATCATATCTTCAACCACTACCTATACAACAATTTAACTCTGTATCTCAGGCTCAGTAGATCCCTTTTCTGAGCTCCAGACTGAACCTGGTTCTGACATTTGGCTGCCCATGAGAACCATCCATAGAGCTTTTTTTTTTTTTTTTTAATTTTCTTAAATTTTTTTTCTTATTTTTTTTTCTGTAGAGCTTTTTAAACCTACAGATTCCTACTGCCAGGTCTCTCTCCACATCCACTCTAATTCAGTAAACCTGAAGTAGGACACCAGATCAAATTAAATAGTAGTAAACCTGACACATAGTAGGTGTTCACTGAATGGCTGCTAGGTTTTTTTGTTTGTTTTGTTTTTGTTTTCAAAAGATGACCTGTAAGGGGATCTTAACCCTTGACTTGGTGTTGTCAGCACCACGCTCACCCAATAAGCCAACCGGCCATTCCTATATGGGATCTGAACCCACGGCCTTGGTGTTATCAGCACCGTACTCTCCCGAGTGAGCCACGAGTGAGCCACAGGCCGGACAATGCTAGGTTTTTTAAGACATCTCAATGATTACAACTCAGTTCCTCGCCTACTCTAACTGGTCAGACCAGTTTTGGGGATCCCGAACTACATCTGAAAGAATGCCTTCTCTCTTAACAAACGGCATCATCAGTTATCCAAGACAAAAATCTACTGGTTATCTTAGATGCCTCTCACATCTCACTACCTGAACTTCTTTTTTTTTTTTTTTTGTCTGTTTCTATTCTTTTGTAACTGGCTTGATTAACTACTGCGTCTCCTGTATATAGAACAATGCTAGGCACATAGTAGTAGTTAATCTATGTTGAATGAATGAACCCACAGATAATTGATTACTAAGCATTTTAATTTCATATGATAGAAAGTAGTTTCCTCTGCAATTCTTGTCACTGCTTTAGTTTAAGTTCTTCATAGGAAGGAGGTTAAGGTGCTGGTAACACCAAGGTCAAGGGTTTGGCTCCCCTTACCGACCAGCCGCCAAAATAAAAATAAGAAGATTAAGGTTTGAGTAAAAAAAGGGGCAAGATAGGAGTTGAAGAGCAAGTGTAGAATGCAAAAGAGCTAGAAGACAGAGGGTTGTAGTCAGAGTGACCTCTCGGAATTTAAGACTTCAGAGACACAGCATTTACTGTAATTTTCTACATGTCTGTCTCTTCCGTACTCAGCAGTGCCAGCCCGAAGCGGCTAAAAGCAGGCTTTGAATCAGATTTGGATCAAACCCCGTCTCTGTCACTCACTAGCTTTGAGCAGCAATTTAATTTCTGAGCCTGTTTCCTCATCTGTAAAATGAGGATAACAATAGTATCCACCTCACAGCAATGTTAAAAGTCTAAAACAGTCCATATATAACGTGGCCGGCTCGTAACTCACCAAATAGAAGCTGGTATTAACGATTAAAACGCCTTAGAATAACTCAGTTCTCCGACTCTTCGCCTCTAGACCTCAGGAACCTCCTCAGGGCACCCCTAACCTTCCCAGACCACACCCCTCAGATTTTCTGTAGGCCCCACCCACTCCAGAGCCTACCAAGCTTCCCCAGCCCACCCGAACCCGGTCTCCCGCAGTACCTGACCCATAGCGCACGTCGTGTGAGTGCAGTCGAACGTTGTGGCGCGTATTGAGTAGCTTCACCACAGACCCGCAGGTAACGACAGCCAGACTGGACGCTCCCACAGCGTTCCACAAACCCGCGAACAACAGTAGCTGTACCACAGCCATCCTAGCTGGATCTCAGAGCTCCTATCTTAGAAGAAAACTCGGCCCCTCCCCGGAACCGGAAGCTGAAGGCGGAAGCACAGAAAGGAGGAAGTGAAGAAGCCCTAATCTGATCTTTATGGTTCCTTTGGCTAGAGCGGCCTGAGGAGCCCGTTGGGCCTGGTTGCTTCCGATCTCCTCTCTCTGTTCTGAAGGCTCTTGACAGCTGCCTTACTGAACTGCTTCTGCCGGCTTTCGCATGCCTCCGGACGAAAACCTTGAGAACCGGGTGGGAAAAGAGAGGAAGAAATGGCCCACCCACTCCCAGTGACAGGGAGCCGGAAGTGACGTAGCACGTTGACGCAGCAGCGGCGGCGGTTGCGGCGGAGGGGCCGTGCGGTGGGTCAGTACTATCCTTTTCTAGTCTCGGTTCGACGACTCCATTTTCCTCGGTGGGGGCTTAGCGCACCGGAGAAGCGGCGAGCTTCAGGCAGGTAAAGTTCGGACTGGAGAGCTTTTTTCTGTACGGGTCAGGTGGGGAACCGGGCTCCTAGGGCCTGGTCTCTTAAGGGAAAAGGCATTGGGGAGTCGTATGCGGGAAAAAGGGGGCCCCGGCCTTTCCTGCTCTGTGGGTGGAGGGAGGAGGGAAGCCGGATAGTGGCTTAGAGTCGGAAGGCTTTTCCCAACCCGGTAACACTCGGAACCCGTGAATGGGGTGGCTTCTTGAATCAACAGGCTTCCTGGGATCCCATCCTTTTCTCCGCAGTTTCCGAAAACTGGGCCAAGCAAAAGGATTGGGAAAGGAAGGGCCTTGGGGCTTCTGAGCAGGGATCAGGTGATCGAATTGCTTGTTCTGGGGATGCGAATCCTACGGAGCTTTCAGCAGCTCCGGCCATCTGGCTAGAAATGCCAAACGCCAGCTCTTCCATATTGTTGAATTATACAATTACAACTTTTTGTAGATGGCTGCATCCTTCATCCCTTCCTAAAGATTGGAGGTCTGTAGAAGTACCTGAAGCCCATCCATTCTCCGTAGATTCATTTCCTCAAACATTTGCCAGGCACCTACTATGAACATCAGAATGGGTTGTTAAGTCAAAACTTTATCTTCTTCCAGTTTCTACTTTTCTCTCCAGACACTCCCTTGAACCAGCTGGAGCAGTTAATTTCCCTGGGTTGTCAAAATAGCTGATACTTATTTTTCTTTAGGAGGAGGCCTAAGCTCTCCAAAAATACTTCCATAGAAATTCACTGCAATATCAGAAGTAGTAAGGGAGTAGTAAGCTACACTGCTATTGATAAAGATGGAGAGTGTAAACAATATTAGACCTGATTAATTTTTTCGGGGGGGGGGGGAGTTTAGTTCCCTTGTTTATCTGAAAGTTATCAGTTTGTAAATCTTCAGTGTATTGATTACAAAAGCATGACCTCCCATCAGCTGTGAATTTAGGGCCCTTTTCCGTTTTTATTCAGCTGGCTTGTGTGGCTACTAGATTAGATTAGCATAGTACTGTTACTCTCTAAGAAGTTTTAATCTCATCAAGAGATTAAGCACATTAGGAAGTGGTACAGTCTAGAGAGGCTCAGTCACATTTTACAATTCTCCATCCCAAGGCCTTCTTCACGAGAAAGCAAGCCTACCTAGTGAGGTGGAAATATATGATAAATTTGGTTTTGCTTCTCTGTTCTTGGCCCTAATAAATGGCACCACCATCAATCCTGCATATAATCCTTGGCTTCCTTCTTCTCTGTTATTCCCCAGTGCAGTCGTCAAATCCTATCTCTCCATAAAACTCTATTCCCATCAGCATACAGATTATGTTCTGCTATCCCTCACATCCCGTCCAACTACCATCTTAATATTTTTTATTTCCTTTCATAGCTGGATTTATACTTGTGCCTTCTCAACTTTCTCACCTTTTATTCACTCTTCAGTCTACACCAATCTGGCTTCTGTTCTTATCCTGCTATTGAAATTGCTCTTGTCAAGGTCACCAGTGATTTCTTTGTTGCCAATTCCAGTAGATACTTTGTTCTCATCTCCCTCCTCTCTGGGATATTCAACACAGTTACTCTTCTCTTGAAACTCTCTCCTCTTGGCTTCATTGACACTTCACTCATGGATTTTCTCTGTTTCTCTAGCTGGTCCTTCTCATTTTCCTTTGCTACCCACTTTTGCTCTCTACCTAATGTCTAAACGTTGGATTTCTCACAGGGTTTAATGCTGAGTTCTCTACATTCTTACTGTAAGTGATACAGTCCCATGGTTTTAATTACCATCTGAAAGCTGGCAGCTCCCAAGTTTAAATCGCTAGCTTGGTCCTCTCTGCTCTGTGTTCCAGGATCACACATCAGAATGCCTGTTTAATTATCTACCTTTGGATATCGCTCTGGCTCCCCAAAGCTAACGTAAGCAAAAGGACATTTTGGTATTCCCATCATTCCCAATCTGGTCTTCCCCATCTAAGTGGTACTTTCATCCACATGGTTACCAAAGCTAGACCTCTAAGAAACATCTTTGTCTTCTCTCTTAGTACCCCTCATCCCCAGTCTTTCAACAAGTCCTGTCACATCCACCTCCAATATATTTCAAATCTGTCTTCTATTCTCCATCTTCACTGCTACCACCCTACTCCAAACCACCATCATCTTTTGCCTGGACTACCACAGTAGTATCCTCAGTTTTCCCTGTTTCCATTCAGATCACCCTCCAGTTCATTTTCCATGTAGCAGGATTGTGTTTGGTCAAATCATGTCATTGCTGCTTAAAACTGCAGTAGTTTCTCATGGCCTTCATGCCCCACTTGAGCAGGCCCCTCCTCTCTTGTATTCTCTTACCTTCACCATGTTCTACTCACATTGGCCTTAGGACATCACCTACCATATACCAAGTTTTTCCCCATGTTTTGTGCTGAAACCTCTCCCCCTGGCTCTTCATGCCACATCCTATCCATTCTTGACATCTCAGCGAACTTATCCTCTCAGAGGTGAGGGTGTATTTCCTTCCTAACACTTATAGCAAGTTTTATTTTGTGGTTTGTTTTCTGCACCAGAGTACAGGTATCCTAGGGGCAGGGACCTCGTCTTGTACATGCCTGGTATGTAATAGGCACTCATTAAATAAGTATTTGTTGAATTTTCAAGTAAATTAATTCTCTGTTTAAAACTCTCTAGTTGTAAACTTAGTTAAAAGGAAGTTAAAGGGCTTTCCAGCACCTTTAGGATAAGTCTAAAATTCTTTTTTGTCTTTTTTTTTTTTCGTGTCCGGCAATGGATCGCAACCCTCAGTGTCGCGCCCATACCGGACCAGGACCGGCAACGGGATCGCAACCCTCGGTGTTGCGCCCGCACCTCGCTCAGCCAGTGAGCGGGAACCTTTTGTCTTTTTTCATGTCCGGCAACAGATCGCAACCCTCAGTGTTGCGCCCGTACCGGACCGGGACCGGCAACGGGATCGCAACCCTCGGTGTTGCGCCCGCACCTCGCTCAGCCAGTGAGCGGGAACCGCTCTGTATGTGGGATCTGAACCCTCGGCGGGAGCGCCGCCACACTCCCAAGCGGCGCACTGTAGCAGTGCGCCACCGGGCCGGCCCTAAAATTCTTAACTTACCCTGCAGAGATCTTTTTGAACTTACCTCCGACTCATTATGAACCATTCCCCTCCCCGGTCAAACTAGCCCTCTGTTCCTGCCACAGTGTATGCCTTGTGCTGAAGGAGCTCTTCTCCAACACTACCACTCCCCCACCACTTCCAAAGGAACCAGCTCCTCCATTTAACTAACTCCTCGTCACTCTTAAGGTCTTTGTTTAAAGTTCCTTCCTCAAAACCAGGTTAGGTTCCCCTAATAAAAGGTCCCATGGTATCCTTGTCATCAGTTCTTTTTTTTTGTCTTTTTGTCTTTTTTCGTGACCAGCAATGGATTGCAACCCTCAGTGTCGCGCCCGTACCGGACCGGGACCGGCAACGGGATCGCAACCCTCGGTGTTGCCCCCGCTCCTCGCTCAGCCAGTGAGCGGCCGGTCTGTATGTGGGATCCGAACCCTCGGCGGGAGCGCCGCCACACTTCCCAAGCGGCGCACTGTAGCAGTGCACCACCGGGCCGGCCCCGTCATCAGTTCTTTAAAGACCTTTTGTACTTCTAGATCTGTGGTCACCAAACTAAGGCCTGTGGGCCAAATTAACCTACTCCCATTTATTTACTTGATGTCTGTGTATGCTTTTGTGCTACAATCACGTATCAGGCCCTGTAGAGAAAAAGTTTGCCAATCCTGTGGTAGAGCAAGAACTGTACAATCCCCACTATGTGTAACACAAAGCTTAGTAACTGTTACTCCCTCCCTGTGTCGCAAGGGTTCTGAATCTAGTTACATATTTCAGTTGTTTGTTTCTCTTTTGCCCTTTCCTTTATCCCTAAGGAAACTTGGAAAGAAAAGGAATAAGTAATATTTTTTAATTACTTATTAAGAGCCATTACTAACAATAATGCTTTTTTATTGAAGAGATTAGCATTGAAAAGATACTAAGGCTATTATTTCCTAGAAATATGATGTGCATGTTAAAGTGATAACATGAAAATTAACCTTTTCTGTATTTTAACATCTTGACTTAGCGGAATTAGGATTTTTCATAACAAGAGTTCTGAGTCCCAGATTTAAAAGAACTTGTCTTGATTAAACTGAATACTTAATCCTAGGCCCTTGCTTATAAATATAAAATGTAGAATGTCTTGTAGTTTAAACTGCACACCAGACTTCTGGGGCTATTCCCTGTCAAGCCTAAGCTTTTGCTCATGTTGCCTTTTTCCAGACTATGTTTTTAATTCCTCTCTCAATTAGGCATCACCTTTTCTGAAGTATTCCCCAGCCTTTCTCTCTGTATTGCTCTCATAATCCTGTTATGTAACTTAATAACTTAATATAACATTAATTATGCTTTATCATAGCTTTATTTACAAGTTTTTTGAGACAGATTGTGAATTCCACCAGGTCAAAAAGCACATTTTACTCATTTTTATATATCCAAATCCCAGCACAGAGTATAGCCCTAAAAAAAAACAGTAAATGTTATTTGAAGCTGCAAAGTGGAGGAATTAAAGGCCTAGATCTCTGTTCCCTCCAGTTTCCCTTTTTGTCGGGGGGTGGGGGGGATCCAAACACTTGACCTTGGTGTTACCAACACTGAGATCTAACCAACTGAGCTAACCTGCCAGCCCCTGGTCTCCCCTTAATTGCCTCCTACAACTTCTTGTTCAAAGGGAGGGACTACTGAGGGCCTCCCATGTGGCAATCTGATCCCAGCTCCATTTCTCTCCCAGAGAATGTCATGGTAAC